TGGTAAAACAAAAAACATACACTATTTATACCTTGAATCAAACATCAAACCCGATTACGACCCACTTTTCCTGAGAATCGGGAAACTCTTCGACAAACTCTTCGACTCGACGAAGGCCCTGGTTGAGAAACCAAGTGGGCATCCAGCGCTCTTCTTTATCCGTCAAATGTGTCTGGTCTTCGACAGCCATATCCAACAGCTCGTCCAAATCATCAGCATCATCATATTGCTTCTGCTGGTACCGATACTCTCCATTATCACGATGGTCCTTCCAACCCTGTAGCTTGAGCAGAATCAGAGCAAGCATGGGCAGAACCGGCAAATCCGCGAATCGCTCAAGATAAACAACTCGTCGCACCGGAACTGCAGGAATATTGAGGGACTGTCTATCATTATGGATCAGAATATCGATTTTGCATGCTCGACGTGTCGCAAGTCTGAACCACAGGATCTTATAGGTATTGGTTCGATCCCGAGGGTCCAGGAGGTAGAAATTGTTGTTTGTAGCGACGATGAGACGTTTGATGGATTCTGGGTCCCGGTCGGTCAGGACGACTACATCGACATCCTGTGACGAATCAGATATGGACGATTATGCAGCGTGAAACAAGGCTGACATTGGGAATACGGCTGGTTCCATACAAAGAGCAAGCAGCGCTGCCGAAAAGACAGCATTCGAGATTGTTCAGCTGTAGCGCTGCAATGGCTGCTCGAGCTGCTCTTCGTATTTCTTTGGCAGCGAGAGTAGGTCGAGTCATTGTGGAGATTGTGAGGGTTCAGAACAGGTTTTGGGCGTCTAAAGCTGTTCAAGGTAAGAATAGCTTGACACGTGTAGAGATGCTCACCTTGAGGCTCGAATGAGCCAATGCGAAGCCATGCTGAAATAGAAATGCTGTTGCAAGGGTAATCGCTACTGAATGAGGCAAGTTCCGCGAAAGCTTCTATTTTAAATACCCTGTTTGACATGCATTTACGGATAGCAAATGACTTTGGTATGTCTCTGAAATCGAGAGACAACATCTCCCGTCGTCGACTCTTCCTTGTCGGTTTCTTCCATGGCAGCTGGCGAAAGGAGACACCTTGTTCCGTCCCTCAAAGAAACATGCTAGTCCTTTCGTGAAACGACATGGTTGGCGCGCAAATGGTGAAGATCAGAACCTGAGGAACGTCCTGTGAGCATCCCAAATGCTCTTTCTCAGAATGTAGAGACGTACCAATGACAACCATTCGTCGCAGAGATTGCGCAGAGACCTCAATATGACGAAGGACTGGATGACCAGGCGATGATGACCTTCGCCGAGCCAATGGAGGCAGAGAAAAGTAAGGTGAAACAAAAGTTGAATGCGATAGAGAAGAGGAATGTCGAGACGACGGGATTGAAAGATCGTAGGAGCTTTGGTGATATGGTTGGACAAAAAAGGAAGTCGACGAATCGTGGTCCCGTGGACGTTCACGGTGGTGATGATATCGCCTTTGTCTTCGTCTGTCTCTCCTGGACGTCCCAAAGCTCAGCTCCGAACCTGCCATCTCGTCTCCGCATCGGCACTGAACAGGATCGGCTCATGGCAGTCGACAATGACATCCCGACATGGACTCGTCAGAAGCCACGATAGCTGCCGTCGCACGTCTATTCGAAAAAGCAAGAGGTTTGTTGATATTGTCGTCTTAGGTCAAAATTCAGCCTAGCGGTCAAACAAGAGGTGCTTTTTCATACCTGGTACCAGTCTCTCGACCTTACCTCAACGTCTACCCACAAATTTCGCTTTCCAGGCTGAACCGAGCTACATCGACGCTCCTCCAAGTCTAATCTTGATCGATGCAATGAATCAGCCAAGGATGGTAGAAATGGGCACAAAAGCGTACAGGAACCACGCAAATGGTCAAAGGAGGCATTAGCAATTTACCGGATGCGAGAGGACGTTAATGAGGATGAGGACATCCGAAAAGACAGACAGTTCATTCGAAATATCGTCACGAGCGTAGATATTGTCGATAGCGCCGGCTCTTTCAGCGCGTCTGGGATTTATCTTGAGGATAACTGAGCAAGGCATTCGGCAAAGTCTGAATCATTATCCGTGTTTTTGATCCTGGGTCGCTTTTTGCATCTTGAAAATGTTGGCACAAAAAAGTTGGTGTGACTCACTTTTGAGCCGAGGATCAGGTGATCTCTATGACCAAAACGGAAGCGAATGGCTACGATATTGCCACGATCATGCTCAAGACGTCAGCTCGGGTATTTCAACGTGAAATTGACCTGGCTGCGTGACATTGCTTCGCGTCTCAACGGCCTCTCTCATTTGTGCACAGTTTGCGAAACATTCTTTATGATCAGTGACCGCCAAACTTGCAACTGGCCCGAATACGCCACAATATCTTTCGCCTATTTAAGGCCAAACTTGATCATGTCCTTCTTCCATTCAAAGAAACTATAATCATGAAGCGATCACTGATCAATGGGTCAAATCGGGAAGCAAGAAGATATCACGGACCCAAAGTCGCGGCGTTCGCGCTCATATTCGCTTAGTTTTCCAGCGAGAAGCGCTTCGACGAGCTGGGCGATTTTCGGGAAATTTGTCGCGTTGATTGGGTTTCTCTCAGCGTAGATGTCGCGGAATCGGAGATATATGGCGAGAAGGGCGAGATCTGGGAGGGTAACCTGGATAATCCCGTTGGAGCTCGAAAGATTCATTTGAATATCGTCACACCTTGTCTCCTTCATAGTAGATTCCACGACTCTTCTCCAGGATTGCTTCATGCAACTTCAGGGCATTCGGGATGGTTTCAGTGATGGAATTTTTGTGCTTGGCTGCACGAAGCGCAATGTCTTGAAGAACAGTATCACCAGGAATTTTGTCCTGGAGGTCACGGAGAGACAAAACAATCCCAATGGAGTTTGCTCGTTCGAGCAGATCGCTGGAAAGTAATCCATGCTTTTCGCCCAGGTACAGCTCAATGGCCAGAGACTCCCAGAGATGCTAGAGATACGTCAATCACACCCACTCAAGCAACAGGACTGAAATATACCACGGATGTCCCGTCAGCTTTCTTCACAGTCAACCTTGGAAGATGTTTGTATTTCTGCTCGTTCCTGATTGCTCCCCAATTCTCGGGCCCGACCTAACATCAAAGATCGTCAGGATCTTGGCTCGTCATACTCCAGGAACATGGCGACATACAACGGAGTAATCGTATTTGACGTCTGTGAATTCCAGAACCATACGCATAATGTCAGAACGCGCCCAAGATGGAAAATAGAGAAGCTCGTAGGTGTCAGACATTGTTCCACAAATCTTCTGGGGATCGGAGGATGAACTTTTTAAAAAAAACAAGGTTTTATCCAAGTAAACAACCGTGTAGCCGAGATTTCGCACGTCACATCCCCTTGGAAATGCGGGGTTCAAAGACCGAAAAGTGCAAGAAAACCCGACTCCTGTGCTTTGATCTCTGGTCGAGTCTTGTATCTAATGTGGATGCGAAAAAATCTCTGAATCTTCCGTGATACTTACTCCCAGTAGGACCACTAGGGATCAGATGATCTGTATCACCAAAACGGGATGCGAATGCAGGCTACAATCAAGTCAAGAATTCAGGTATTTCAACGTTAAATCGACATGGTCGCGAACCATCACATCTCAATGGTCTTTCTCATACGTAAAGAGTTTGCTTGGCATCCTTTATGACCAATTACTGTAACACACTTGGCACTGTCGCGTCTAAGTACTATTTACCAACTATTTACGGCCAAATTCGAACTTGTCCTTCTTCCATTCCCCGAGACTATAATCAAGATATCAGCAGGTAGACATGAGGACCAAGGATATATTACGGACCCAAAGTCGCGGCGTTCGCGCTCGTATTCGCCTAGTTTTCCAGCGAGAAGCGTTTCGACAAGCTTGGTAATTTTCGGGAGATTTGTGGCGTTGATTGGGTTCCTCTCGGCGTACATGTCGCGGTATCGGAGATATAGAGAGAGGAGGGCGAGATCCGGAAGGGTAACCTGGAAGAGGCATCGCGTCAGAGCTCCAAGGCATTGTTTCAGCAGCCTTACCTTGTCTCCTTCATAGTAGATTCCGCCATTCTTCTCCAGGATTGCTTCATGCGACTTCAGGGCATTCGGGATGATTTCAGTGATGAACTTTTCGTGTTTGGCTGCACGGAGGGCAATGTCTGGCAGAAAAACAGCACTGGAAACGGTGTCCTGGAGAGCACGGAGGGACGAAAGGATGCCGATGGAGTTGGCTCGTTCGAGCAGATCGCTAGAAAGCAATCCAAGCTTCTCGCCGAGATAAATCTCAATGGCAAGGGACTCCCAGAGGTACTGGAAATAAGTATGTCAATCAAGCCCATCAGAGAACAGAATTAGACCATACCGCGGATGTCCCGTCAGCCTTCTTTATGGTCAACCTTGGAACCTGTTTGTACTTCTGCTCATCCTTGGCTGTTGCCCACATGGGACCGTCGACCTATCAAAGATCGTCAGGATCTTGGCTCGTCATCCTCGAGGAAGATGGCGACATACAACGATGTAATCATATTTGGCGCCGGTGAATTCCAGGACCATACGCATAACGTCCGAACGCGCCCAAGATGGAAAATAGAGAATCTCGTAGGTATCAGACATCGTAGTAGAGATTTTGTGCGGATCGAGGATGAGTTCAAGGGAAGGAAGCGAAGATTTTATTTGGCCAATGGGATTACGACAGACCGGCCTTTAGTAATAAAGTGCTGTTACCAATCTTTGCGCTGACTGAGCTGACTGAGCAGGTTGCGACGTGGCCGAGGTAGCCTACACGGCTGAACGGCTAGCGGCAAAGCAACTCAACGCGATGTGACTAAACAAGAACGATATTCGGGTAGGTAGGTAGCACCACAACTCCGCATCCCATTACCATGTCACCCTCCCCGCACTGTCATACCCGCAAAAGGATCTCCGCGTGAGTTCATCTTCAAAAGGAGCGGTTTCGTGTGATAAATTCAACGCAGGGAAAACCAAAAATAAATGCCACGTACCCGATTTGAACGAATGACCTTCTCATATTCTGTAAGCAAACTGCGTTTGAAACCGAACATTTCAAACACTGTCTGTACAAGTGAGACGCGCTACCACTACGCCAACGCGGCATGCATTTTGAAGCAATTCTGACGACTACTGACCAGATCGAGAAGCGGGAATGACGCGATTCAACACGGGAATCACGAGGCAACTGTTGCAGTGAAACGCGATTCCTGGACCACCATATTCTCTGTTACCTCAATAATGACCAACATAGAAATCTTAGAGCAGGATGACGCCGGTCGTATCCATCAAACACGAATATCCAACCAACAGGTTTGACATTCGCTGCTTGGTCCAGAACTTGACGTTCACGAATGATCGTGTAGATAGAAAGAACAGCCATAGAACCTAATGGCGAAAATGTCCGCCTGCCTGCGCTAGAATTCCTCGGAAAGGTCTTTCTGCCTACCGGTTACCCCAAAACCGTCTCGCCAGGTTCGTGACCAGTAGACGAATGCCTGACCTGGGGTTAACCCATGTTTCAGACTATCTCAGGTAAGGTATCCTCTCTTGTAATATTGACCCTTCCAATGACCGTCTGGTCTCCACAGATATCAGATTCTCAACGCTCTCCAAGCTTTTTGCAATTCTCTTGCGGGACTTTTGTCTTCTCGTTCTGTTCTCGAGGGTATTTGCTTCAACGAGACCAAGAATCGCTACTAATGCCTTTTTAGGATTCGGCGTTGGAGATGCTTCGGCCTCAGCGACCAATGCCATTCTCGTCACCGTCTTGCAAGACTTTTTCAGTCGGTTGACCAGTAAGTCGCCTTGTCATTCCGAATAACGAACTAAAGGCTGCCAGCTATCGTCGGGGCATATTATGTCGGATCATCGCTGTCGCCTGAAGCCAAGACATATAGACTCTTGGCTGACATTCTCAACGATTGTGCTGTTATCCTCGATACAATGTCCCCTCTTTTCAATTCTCCATCTATCAAGCTCCCTGGGCTCAGGATTGCTGCTCTTTGTTTGAGCGGTTCACTGCGCGCTATGTGCGGTATGGTCGCTGGTGGCTCAAAGTCAGCTATAACCTTGCATTTTGCTTCCCCGGCAGGTGCAAGCGGCGACATCGGAGATCTGAATGCAAAAGACGCCAGCAAGGAAACAGTATTGGCATTATGCGGCATGCTCGTGAGTCGATCCATCAGAACCTTCATTATTTTGAATAACCGTGATTTCAGCTCGGTGGGCTTGTCGTCCCATATCTGACTTCTCCTTGGACCACCTATCCCTTCCTCTTTCTCCTTGTTGGGCTTCACGTCGCCATCAACTACATGGGCGTCAGCGGTCTCGTTTTAAGATCGCTCAATCGCCAGCGGACTGGTCTTGCCTGGTCTTGGTATCGGTCTACGGACAATACCAAAGTTCCGTCGCCCAGCGACATCTCCAGGACCGAGCGTATCTTCGAGCGGCCCGGGACAATCCGTGACGTCCATTCAGGGCGTGTCCTGGGTCATTGCAGTATTGGATCGTCTTTCTCCGCGATTCTCTCTGAGCCAATTCAATCAACCTTGCTTCCGCTTTTTCAAAAGGAGCGATACCTGCTTTGGTATGATCCGAGCTGTCTTGTTGGGGCAAAGCTGGTGGGCTTGCCATGTCTTCATATATGTTTGAAGAAAGATTATTCGCCAGTAGACCAGCTCAGAGCTTGGGCTCATGCGGCTGAGGTCGCTCGTCTCGCTGATGCAAAAGAGGGCGATGTAGAAGATCTCATTCGACTCGCATATTCGAACACAGAACATCATTTCGCTGATTTCATTCGGAAAATGAGGGTAGCTGAGTGGAATACGGTCGATGGGACGTTGATGACGAGTGCACCTCGGACTCTTTTGACCTCAATCAAAGACAACAACCTGGATGTGACAGAAGAAAAGAAGGAAATGTAGTTTTTGGTCAGTCTTGGCTCTCAAGAATGTAACGTCTGTACTGATATATGTCATTTCAGCTTCCGATTCGATGTTTATATGTATGTATGTCAAAGTGTTCCTTGGAGGTTGTATTGACCACAAGCGTGCAGTACAGCTCTCATTATTGTAGACGATCTTAATTCGAGTAGACTTGTTCCAAGATTTTGCCTATTATTTTCCGCTGGTGTGCCTCATGGGCAAATAGACTTGTGCAAGCTCTTCTTCGAATCACTGCGGATCTAGGCACTGGTATTCCTGACTCAGGCCTTCTGGTGGCGGATCTCGACAGTAGAACTGACGGTCCGAAACTAGCGCTCAATCGATCGTGTTCCCCAGCTCAACCGGTACGTCCGTGACTCTATCAGTATTATCGAAACCTCATTGGTTGCTTCTCGCGTAGCACCGCTGGCAATAGACCCCCGCCTTTCTCTCTTTTGCGGGAATTGGCTCAAGTCCGAACCTTCGATGATTCACGAATATCACGAAGTCTAGCATCCCTGCAGCGACGTCAATGACCGGCTGTAATTGATTTACCGTCCTCCAGGGTCTGTTTTTCCTCTTCCACTGTGCTTCTTTCACCATGATCCGAGTTGAATCCGTACAATTCAGCTATAGACTCGAAAAGCATCTCAACATTGTGGACATATATCACAGCAGATCACAACGCGTCAAGAATCGATGTGACTGTACTGATTAGATGGATGCAATTCTGGGCCGGAAAAAGCCTCTTTGAAGCTTGTTTTATGGGATTACCGGGGTCAAAGCGAGAGGAAAAACAGATGCCAGCGCACGGGTTTCGAAAAAGCCGGACTGTGAGTGACTTGCCAATCAGCTTCTCTCCGAGGCTGAATGATGCTCATATGCGAAGTTTTTTTGCTCGGAAGGACCTTTGAACTTTGGATTTTGCTGGCAGGACGGTGATCCCTCATTTGGTCGGCTGTTTCAAGAATCGCTATATTGGGACTCGGGTTTTGCTTTCTAGCTTACTCGTCCCTTTTCTCCGTTGTTACACCCGTAACCTTTTGGTCTCTTTTCGTCCTCATCATCAATGTTCGCACTGGTAGTAGCGGAATAATCCGAGAAATGAATTCTTTGCTTATTGTTTTCGCAGCTCTGCGTCTGCGATCACATACACACGTGGCAAATGGCGATGGAAGGGGCTTAAACGGATTTAACAGGATTCATATCCGTCTGGAACCGATCCCTCAGGAACAACCAGTTGGAGTAGATCCATGTGGTCCGAAGTCTACGTAATCTTGCGGACGTGATACAGGCGCCGAGATGACTCGAATAAGCTCAAGACATGTGGAACAGAACGTTGTACTCATTCATTTGCGCTACTGATACTATAGAACTAATCATACACCATACAAAAAAGATAATGCGACGACAGGACATACACGATGAGAAAAGATACTACTACAAATTTTGATTCATTCAACAATTCGTCATCCAGAAATCTCGAGGCAAATGGACGTAAATAACCGGCGTAAAAGACAACGAATGGAGGAGCCTCGTGGAGAGCTCTCAATCAAGAGCGGCAAAGAATTGATATCAGAAGGTAAAATGGAAAAACGGGGGACCAGGGGCCGTCAGGACAGTGGAGTAAAGCCATGAGTCGGGGGTGAAATAATGAGCAGCTGGAAGCATATGGGGCGGTCGGATCGTCGAGACAGAATTATCCCGGTTTGGCGTGACTTTTGGGCAGGACGGGTATGTCAAGCAGGGCGGGTATGAAGGAAGGAGGATAAGTTAGGTCGAAAAATGAATGAATCGAATCAGATGTCCATTCGTTCGTCATCACCAGCTTCGTCGCTCATGTCGTGGTCGTCGTTGGCGGTTTTTCCCCGCCCGTTTCTCGTTCGAAGGTACCTGTTCGTCGGGCTCGTGCTGACTGGCTCCTGGGTACCATTCAGCTTTGAGCTAACAGGGCTCCTGGTCTTGACGCTCCGTTTTCGACCTCTCGAAAGAGCAACGTCTGCATCTTTATCGTCATCCTTGACCTTTTTCTTCTTGGAAACGACAACTGGAGCATCATCAAAGTCGGTGCTGTTGCTCCCAGGACTGGTCGAGGTGATAGGGCTCTCGCGCTTGTCACCTTCAACATCCATGTCTCCCTCCAGCATTTTCTTCCCATCTTCATCCTCTTCCGGCATCGATCCGAGGATACCGTTTTTCCCATTGCTCTTGCGATGAGACATTTCGGCACCGTTGAAACCCCAGCTAAGTCCCATCCTGCCAAACATGTCTCCATTGGCTGTAGGCGTCTCCGCTCCATTGGTCTGAGCTCGATAACCTCGAAGCTCATCCTCGAGCTCGCGGTTTCGTGCACCCTGCAGCGAGACGACCTGCTGTAGGTACCTGAATGATGACAGTCAGACGTAAGAAGCTTGAAGAGGGAGATAAGGACAAACCGAATGTATTCGACGCTCTTTCGCAGAATCATACCCTTGTTCGCTTTGACGACAGCTCCAGAGGGAGCAGCATTAGCAGGTGCTGCAGCATCTTCACCGATAGGATACAATCCATCTAGGGAAGGCTCTTTTTTTGGGACATTGCCATTAAGAGACGCCGGCGAGGCGAGATCTCCCCAAAGATCAACATCGACTCTGTCATTGTTATCTCCCATCATGAGCGCTAGAGGCGAAGTCGGAGACGTCAAGGTCGGAGAATCGAGCGAGAGGCTCAAGCTCGTGTCATTATTGTTCTGCGTCGATGTAGGAGCATTCGGATTCCCAGCGCCTTCCAAAAGACATTCTGGAATCAGAGTTGCCAATTCGCTGATCTTTTCGTTGATATTATCGCGCCGGCGTCGCTCGACTGCATTGTGAGATTCCCTCCTGCGACGACGCTTTTCAGAAGCAAGGAGAAGCTGCTTTTCCGAAGCAGAGGGAGCTGGAGCTGAAGCGCTGGTGTTGCGCTCGTTATTATGGGATAATGTCGTAGGCAAAGAAGAGGGATGTCCCGAATTCGAAGTAGGTGTCCCTGTAACCAAATAAGTAAAAAGGGCAAGGTAAAAGCGCAATTGGGACGAACCTAGACCCATATTATCCAACACGCCTCCACCCTGTTTTGGCAAAGATCCCGGATGTAAAACGGAAACAGGCGGAAGATGCGTTGTTTCGGTGGGACTGAGACCGAATCCAGCATAACCAGCA